CATGGCCATCACTAGGAATCACCTGGCAGACAATACAGTATACGAGTCGCCATCAGACAAAGAGTTCAGGAGGCAGTACCGCCACTTAAACAAGGTTTGGGTAGAAGTAGCTCGATCTGAAGGCTTGCATAGAAGCTTAGTAACGCGTCTCAAGAGTGATTTGCCCATTTGTCCGGTATTGTACACCTTAGTCAAGACTCACAAATTAACGGCTGCCGGTCTCGCATCAAAGGATCCCAAGGACTTCAAAGTCAGACCTATAGTTAGCAATGTCGGTGGGCCAACGGATAAGATCTCTTGGTTTCTTAACACCATCTTGTCGCACTCAGATAACCGCCGGGGGCAGGCGGCCATGCGAATTTTGAGCAAGCGCGCACCGGAAAAATAGTTTGATTTTTTGCGGCCCGCTTGCAGAAATTTGGAAGAAAGTTGGCGAAATTAAAGACGAATGCTTGAAGAACAGTCGCGGTTTCTTTATGGAATAGCTGCGGCGCAGTGGCCGCATTCTCGCGGACTTTCCGCGAGAATATGCAAAAATTTCGAGGGCCGCACGGTCCTTTGTGGAGGACCGCGCAACCCCCAGGTACTTTCCGCTGAGAGAAAGTACCTCAAACTTGAGTAATTAAACCAACGGTGACACCTCTGCCACACAGAGTCTTACCTGCGCTCGACGTACGCCCGAAAATACCTAAAAAAAAGTCCGAGCGCTTGCTGAAAGTTCGGCCAGCGCTCGCTGGAAGATATTATTTGACGAGCGCTCGCAGAAAATTCTGCATTGCTGCCCGCTGGCAGAACGCGGAGGTACCGCCCGCTGAAGGTTTGGCCACGCCCCAAAATTCTGCTGACCGCCTGCAGAAAAGCGCGAGTTTGCGGACCGCCTGCCCCCGGCGATTATCTGAGCAGCTGCTAAAGTACGTCCCCTCGCATCTTTCTAATACCAAAATGTTTCTAGAGCGTCTGCGTAACACTCACGTAGAACCAGGATGCGTGGTGGAGTCTTTCGACGTAACATCACTCTACAGCAATGTTTCGAACGACGATGCCCTGCAAGCAACATTCGAGCTCCTTCTTGAACATCAAGCTTCTCTGAACTTTCACGGCTTAAGTATTAGAGGAATCATGTTGCTTCTAAAAGAATGTCTACAGTGTTCAGTCTTTCGATAGTGTGGACAGTATTACAAGCAGATTAGAGGCCTCGCCATGGGACAACGTTTAGCGCCTACATTAGCCATAGTCTTTATGTCTAAGGTAGAGGCTCCCGTTCTCGCGCGCAAACCATTGCTGTACTGCCGTTATGTAGACGACTGCTGCGTCATATGCCCGACCCAAGCTGAGCTGGACGCCTGTTTCAGGATTCTCAATCAGCAGTCTCCTCACATCAAGATGACACGCGAGAAGCCTACCGACGATTGGCTACCGTTCTTGAACGTGCAGTTGCAACTATCAGGCGGCACCTTCAAAACGAGATGGTACCGGAAACCCAGTAGCAAGAATGTTTTAGTGCACTACACTTCAGCTCATCCTGCGCAAGTCAAAAAGTCCATCGTGGCCAATATGTACAGGACAGCTATGAGTGTTTCGTCGGACAGGCAGCAAAGGGATTACTCGCTGAATCTGGCTGACCACATTGCTGAGTCTAATGGTTACAAGCGTAGGAAACATTTCTCGGTTGCACGTCGCCTGATTAACTTCGAGCCTCCAGAAACCGATAACAAAATCCCGTTTTGCTTGCCATACATCTCGGAGGAACTCAGCAAGGCAGTAAGAAGATTGATACATCAAGTGGACCTACAAGATTGGATAAGAGTAATAGACATACCACCCCCAAATCTTAAATGTCAGCTTATTCGCAATCGTGCTTACGATAGGTTGTGCATGACCCCAGGGTGTGTAATATGTCCATTCGGCAAAGAGGGCGATTGCATGGTGTCGGGAGTAGTGTATCTGATCACTTGTCAGGCGTGTAGAGGCACGTATATCGGCGAGACGGGGCGCCCTCTATGTACGCGCATCAAGGAACATCTAGACGGTCTTAAAAAATCGAACCCGGCAACCCCACTGGGCATGCACCGCAGGCAATTCCATAATGACGCGGACATAGGTGTAGAGGTCACGATCTTAGCACGCGAGTCCGAAATCCTGGCGCGCAAGACGTTAGAAGCGTTTTGGATTGCCGCCAAAATTCCAAATTTGAATAGGAAGGATGAGTGCATAGCCATCACTAATGAGATGGCCGCTTATCAGAGCCTTTGCGGGTTCTGAGGTCAATTTGAGGCCAAGCCACTGGGTATATATAGAAGTTAGAGCTCAGTAACTGGTATACGGTCTGCTGCCAAGCAGTCATCAGCTGTTTTAGGTGAGCACTGGTCTAATTCTGTATTTACTTTCTTTGCTCTCGGTTTACTGACGCATTGGACGTCTTTTCTGAGTCTTGATGCGGTTTTTGATGGGATAGATTATTCATGCATTCGACGATTTCAGACTCTAAGAAGGCGATTTTGCCGAAACGTCAGTCGAATAAAGCAATTACTAATCTTGTAAAAATGCTCTAACTAAGAACAGTCACTTTAGGATCGTCTTGCTTCCACGTGTAGACAAGTGAGTGCGTGAGTAACTTGGTCTCGCTGGTACTTTTGGAAACATACTTTTATCTAATAACAACCTTGCTTTTGCTTGTTAATGGTCCCGCTGGTGCTTTCAACTAGGAATCGGTGTGTAAGCGGCACGTAGGGCAACTTGATCGGGCAGGGGAACAGATTTTTGTACGCTTGGGGCAGTTTTCAGAATTGAAATTCCAAAAGTGGCATGTACGGCAATTTGAGAATACGCTGTAAATACTTGATTTCATTGTTTTCTTTCCGTAGAGTCGTAAGGCTGGTTTTTCTTATGTATAGGGTCTTGCGGCACATAGGCATAAACTTTCTTTTGAATAGTTATTATCGGTCGCTAAGCGGCACGTAGGGCAACTTGATCGGGCAGGGGAACAGATTTTTGTACGTTTGGGGCAGTTCTTATAATTTTTGGACGGTCTTCAAGCGGCACGTAGGGCAACTTGATCGGGCAGGGGAACAGATTTTTGTACGTTTGGGGCAGTTCTTACAATTTTTGAACGGTCTTCAAGCGGCACGTAGGGCAACTTGATCGGGCAGGGGAACAGATTTTTGTACGTTTGGGGCAGTTCTTATAATTTTTAAACGGTCTTCAAGCGGCACGTAGGGCAACTTGATCGGGCAGGGGAACAGATTTTTGTACGTTCGGAACAGTTCTTATAATTTTTGAACGGTCTTCAAGCGGCAAGTAGGGCAATTGCATAGGGCAGGGGAACAGATTTTTGTACGTTTGAGGCAGTTCTTATAATTTTTAAACGGTCTTCAAGCGGCACGCAGGGCAACTTGGTCGGGCAGGGGAACCAGATTTTTGTACGTTCGGGACGTTCTTATAATTTTTAAACGGTCTTCAAGGGCAAGTAGGGCAACTTGATCGGGCACGGGGACAGATTTTTGTGCGTTTGGGACAGTTCTTATAATTTTTGAACGGTCTTCAAGCGGCACGTAGGGCAATTTAATTGGACAGGGAAACAAATTTTTTGTACGTTTATGCAGTTCTTATGATTGACGGTCTTTAGGTGGCTCAGTAGTCGTGCTTTTCGAGGAGGGATCTCCTTTTGTAGTAAAGCTTCATATTCCTTTGGCGAAAAAATTGAAGGACACTCTGACAAAGTCCTCAGACGATTGATTTCGTTGCTGTCGGAGTTGATTCTGAGAGAAAAGCGTTTTTTGTAGTACACAATAGTTGTGGGTGCATTTCTACTTCCAAGACGATAGGTGTTCTTCTACTTCCTTGACGATCTTCTAAGGAAATTGTTGAGAAGAACTGGAAGAGCAAATTCTCTTTGAGAGGGAAGAAAGGATGGGGAGGGGGGAGGTATCTGAATGTCTCTGTGAGGAGGGGAAATTTGCAGAAAGAGCGTGGTAAACGAGAGAAAAATTACCCCATGCATGGTTGCAGCAGGAATTTCGAGAAATGCTGAATGATTTATGGAGATTATTGCTTCTTCAAACAGTTCTCGTAGAATGCTTCGCAAGGATGTTCACAGCAAAGGCATAGGAAACTTATTTGAAAATATTTATAATCACAACTAAGCCCTTATATATCTGCCCCTACCCACTTGCTAGCGACCCGTAGGGTCGCTAGTATATATATCTTATATACAAAGTTGCATGTGTGTCTGTCTGTATGTCTGTCTATATATACCTATGTGCGGAATAGAAATTTTTTTAGGGTGGGGAGCGTGTCATGGGCTACTTTTCGTCATCGATCGACATCGATTTTTATCGATTTTTTGTATACTTTGAGCTACAGGGCTGGGAGTTAGCACAGGGGGCAAGTAAGCATGGCGATTCCGAATACAATGTTAGTTTTTGGGATTATCGATTAACTTTATCGATTTTATTGATTTTTTGCAAAGTTTGAGCTACAGGGCTGGGACTTGGCACAGGAGGGGGGGCGGGCATGCTGATTACGAATACAGTATTAGTTTTTGGTATCACCTATTACTTCTACCAATTTTATCGATTTTTTTTCAAAATTTGAGCTGAAGGGTTGGGCATGGCACAGGATGGTAAGTGGGCATGGTGATTTCGAAAACAACACAGGGAACGGGAAAAAAGTGTAGAAGTGGGCACAGGGAAAGGCTGTACAGGAATAGGGATGGGACCTTTAGTACAATGTTTTGACAGGGCCGAGCGCAGCCGCGTAAGCAACACACCTATGACACCCGCCCCGCGCCGAAGTATGTGTGCCAAGATTGATCTGGATCGGTTCAAATGGAACTTTCTATTGGAATATACGTACAGACAGACACACATACAGACAGACATACATACAAAGACATTCAGCTTCATATAAGATGGACTGCAAAAACAAGTAAACTGCAAATGCACTCTGAGATATTAGTATCTTTATCGAACTCTTTTGTACAAATAACATAGACACCTCAATCATTGTTCATTCTCGTCAGTTTCATCTTTCTTTCCGTTCATTTGATAGTACATAGAGACTATTCGCTTCCAGTCTATTACATTTTCGATATTCCAGTCAGTGATCTGTCCCAACTCTGCGCCATCACCTCGCATACCTGTAATCATGTATGTTTCAATCAAAGAGCAAGCTGTTGAGTAAGTTTTTCAATCCCCACCTTCTTCGTCTTCACGCATAGTTGGACTAACTCTCCCTTGACGACCATTACCCATCGAGAAAGCATCAATATTTTCCTCGAATCGCAAATCTTGTTGAGCTTTCTGAGTGCAGACTCGCACTGCAATGCAGCACACGTTTAAACTGTGGAAAATTCAATTTAAACTCACGTCGATTCCGGTAGGCAACTTTCAAAACAACAAATAATTTGGTGAGCATATTGATAGGAGATGGGGTGGCGCTACGTTTATTCATTTGTCGGATCAGAATAGCACGACCAAATTTCCACTCCTTTAAAAATAATCTTAGCTGTTACCACAACAAAATTGTTCCTGTCTCACCGTATCCGACTGAGCTTGAATTCTCTGATATGTATCTGACATCATAGCAATCAGTAAGTTTATAAGTACCTAAAATGAACATAAAAAAAGATTTTTGAAGGTGAGGAAAAGCAATGAAGCTTACTATAAGTGTAACCATCATATAGATACCAAATAGCAACTTCAAAATAATTTTAGCAAAATCAGGCACTAGATGAAGTGGAGGCATAGTGTCCGGCTCGACAAGTCTATAAGAATGCACATTTTAAGCTAGCAAATCCATCACGGCTAGTGCTGGAGTGTAAGCAAGTAGTAGCAGAGTCCCATAGGCAAAACCTCGGCAAGTGGCGGAAGTTCTCCAATACTACCGACCGTGAATTCATCGTAATCGCCAAACTCACCCGAACAACGAAAAGAATAACATTTCCAAAGTTTGTTCTGGAGAGGCCAGACGCATCAATTCAGCGCTGTCGTCATCGACTGGCTGATAGGCTGGCTGTAAAGGAAATTAGTTAATCAGGTAAAATAAAATCAGGTGTAAAATTGCTTGATCCATAAAACATGAAAGATTTCTCAGTAAAAAGACATTGGTACAAACAGTCGCCCTGATAATCTATGACTGCTGGAGCTAGCAAGCAGAAACGATGCATTAATGTTCAAGAAATTGACGCTTTTACCCACCTGAAAGATAGACGTTACATGTAATGTAAATCCCGCAACGAATAACAACAAGATAACTAGAAAGCGAGCTAAGTCATACATGAGATCCCTAAAACAAATTCATCTAAATGACCATGCGATGAGAAATTCCAGGTACCTGATGATGATAGCCCATGGTCCAAACAAATGATGCACTGTGAGAAAATCGAGGAACTCGACGAAAGCAAAAAGTAAAGCAAATGCAAATAGCTGATTCTAAAATATTTGGATGAAGGTAAGACATACTGAGATTGTTGCGTATAGCTTTGCGTTGAATGTTAAAGATGGGTGCACGTTTACGTTAATATGATTGTCCTTATGCAAGGTAGACAAAATTCGTAAACCGCTTGTAAGATTTCTGTGCTGCATATAGTTCTCAAACTTACTACAAGAGACGGAATCTTTTCGCTGATTGACTGAAGTGATGTAAAATTCAAGACATTACAAAATCTACCTTTAAATAAACAAAACGATGGAAAAGGCAAGATATTACAAACATCACCTTTAGATATAGCATGGTTCTAGCAAAATGCAGTTTCTCGTCGTTGTCTAGGTGAGTCATAACAACCGCAGGTAAAAGAAAGGCAAGTACATGAACTGCTATGGCAGCAGCGGCTAGGACCAAGATCAGCACCTAATGGAATGGAGAGTGAGCGCCAACATTGTCCAGTAACTGACTTACCTTGACTATACCTAAACCAGAGCCACCTCCTACACTGGACAGCTCAGACACCAAGTTACCGCTCAACCACAGAAGTAGAAGCCATTCAACTGGATTAGGTATGACAGATGTTGTCTCATACCTACGATAAAGAATGTATCACTTCGTCAACGGCAATCATAAACTTACATTTTATGTGTGATATTGAGCACTACAATAGTGAGGAGGATGGTAAAATACACGTGTGAGACGATATGGCAAACAAATTTGATGATAGGAGCTCGACCTAAACCATAAATTAGCTCAGCCAGGCACATAGAAGGAGAACTTGCTGACGTCAAATAAATGCCCACCCATGCGACTGTCAAGAGGAAGTGAAAAGTAGAACCATGCTGGAGGACATAAAAGCACGAATAATGTGAAAGCTACAGTCTTTCCTGTAATATAGAAGCACTTCGTAAAAAGTGATCAGAAAGGGAATGGGACAAGATTACGAACAGTTTCGTGCATTTATTGACACAATTTTCGCTGCCAAGTTCGAAAGAAGGACATCAAAAATGATGATGGTTTAAATAGAAAACAAAGAGGACGGAGGAAGGTAGGAACGCACCGAAAGACCAGTCGATACTCGCTGTCCAGATTTCCGTTAGATATCGTTGCACCGAAGCGTATGAAACTACTTCTTTCTAGAAAGGCGAAATTACAATCTATTAGGTTGTGTAATAAGTTCGTTCGCATTTTTGGTTTAATTTTTTCTCAACATTTTGCAAACATTTAGCAAAATGTTACTATGCACTCGGAAGCTCTAAGTCTGCTCTACCAAACTTCTGTTAGTATATTTTCGATTCTTGAAAAGCTGAACAAAAAATATGAACACACATCGGAAAATCCAAGAAGACGAAAATTTTGTTTTCGACATGTTTTTCTTTCTTAGTTTTCCCGTTATTCATTGTCAAAATTTACTCAAAAAGCCTGACAACAAGAAAAACAACTACTTGATTATTTATGCACTTCCTGAAACTGTTTACGTTTGCCCACTTCCTTTCGCCGACCGTTTAATGCCATTTTTGCAAAAGTCGGCGTAGCAAGCCCTGCCCAGCGGCGTTCGTTGTATCGCGTACTTGGGTTCTGTGTCCCCCAAATTTTGAGTTTTGACTGCAAAACCCAATTATTGGATGCTTGAGCGATCAAGACCATATCGTCTGCCAATTCCTGAATCGTTGTTCTACCACCCTTCCTCGAAGGTGTTTACAGATGCTTAACGCTGACGCCGAAAAGACATTAAAAACATACCTGTTTTTGAGTTTACAATATGTATTTTTGAAAAATTTTAGCACTTGTAAGTAATCTGCGGGAGCTACAGTATTCTATCTATATCTTAGTAAAATTTTCGAGCCGTTTCTCAAGCGTTCAAACCCATTCAAGACACAGCGTAACATAGCTGTCGAAAATGGAATTTTAGCTCTTTCAGGTTTTTCGGTTCGTAGTCCGATTTTTTATGTAATATTTTGAATACTGGAAATATGATGACAGCAGCTTGGTAGAACAGACTTAGAACTTTCGAACGCATACAAACACTATGCCAGAAGCTATGTGAAATACCGAGAAAAACTGAAACAAAAAATGCGAACGAACTTATTGCACAACCTAATATGACAATGACCTTCGAGCGGGATATGACATAACTCTCTTTTTTGGAAAGTTAACTTGTTCTAGAGAAAACCAGTGAACCAAAAAAAGATACGATTTAAAACTGGACCTGTTCATTTTCTATCAACACATCCAGGAGTGGACGTCCACGAGTGTCCCTGGCTTTAAGAAGGATTGCGGCATTGTACTCGCTAGCGGAGATACCCAGTAACTCTACAGCCATATTCTCGGAAAAGACAGCTACATTAAGCAGATCTTTGGCTCTTTCTTTTTCTTTTTCCGACATGTCTCTTAAATCAACAACTTTGTAGAAGCTACAAAAAATTCTTTCACTTACCGATAGAGTGATGACAGCTTGACAGCCGTATCAATGGGCGCGGGACTTTGTAGGATAAATTCTTGCAATGGCTCGTTGTCAGTACCTTTACCGCATACCTGAAATAAAGGTTGAAAGTATGTAGAAGATGCTTTTTTGACATGCGACAAACCATCAGATCAAATACAAATCGGCGATCCTCCATTAACTGATGTGTATCGTGCTTTTGCTTCAGAAGAAATCGTAAACATTCGATATGATTGTGAGAAGCAGCAAAACATAGCGGCACCTAGGGAAGGTTTACTGGGGTTACACAAGGAAAAAGGATGGGCAAAAAATCTGCATGACTTGCGTACTTTCCCCTCTTTTGTTTCCGCCAACTCATCTGCTGAGCTTTTCACAAACAATTTGACCACGTTCAGGTGACCTGCCTTAGTAGCGTAATGCAATCCAGTCCAACCATTCTTAAATTACCAGATAACTTTATATCTATGCGTATGACCAGATTGTCAGGCGACGGAACTTGCCATGTATTTTGAATTTTTTTTTATCGTCGATTCGTTGACCGCACCAACTGCTCAACAAACGTTGCGAACCACGCGCGGGCGGCTGAATTGTTGCGAGAGCATGACTTGCACAATGGCGAATTCGTAGTGGGGCAAGCATTCCACCTCGCGGTGCGTGCCCCGCAGTGATGTCCAGTCCGTGTGGTCAACGAATCGACGATACAAAAAATTACGCAAAAAACTACAAAAATTTTGACAGAAGGTGGTTCACACATGAGTTATCAAGAAAATGCGAAGTAAAATAAAGAAAAAGGATGAAAAAAGAACGAAAAAGAAAAGTTGCCTACCTGATCCATTACGTTGATGTTAGATCCTTGAGCAATTAGTAATGAAACCATTTCGTAGTGCCCATTCACAGCAGCCAAGTGGAGCGGTGTTCGGCCGCGCCAATCCTAAAACCAAAATTTGTGGGCGTATTTATGCCATATCCTCTGTACATACTTTGGCATGCTGTTGCTGTGTTGAACGAGAAAGCAGCATTCCGACAACAGCGATATGACCTTGCTGCGCAGCTAGATGTAAAGGAATCACACCCTAAAAACTGAGATAATCAAAAACAGAAAGAGATAAGGTCCGCTTAACAATTTACCATTGTAGTGCTCGTAGCATCTACTTGCACTCCCTGGTTGAGCAACATTCGCACAAGTCCATCGTGGCCGGATTGCGCAGCAAGATGCAATGGCGTAAAACCATACTAAAAATTTTACCACCCACATTTATTTTGGACAAAAAAGCACTAACCTCGGTGGCAAATTCTTTAACAACGTGGTGATTGTAAATTGGAGGTTCGGAGCGGACTGTTGCGGGCACGCTTTTCAACATCTCCATAACAAAGTCCGTATTGCCATAGTATGCAGCGATATGCATCGCATTTAGACCAGTCTGCACCTCCATTATTAGGAGAGTTAATACAAACCCCTATTATTTCATGCCTTCTTCGAACATTTTTTCCACAGCGATTTGTCGAAAGCTTGTAGAATCGGAACGAACCCATTCTTTGCACCCAAATGAAGGGCTGTCATACCATGCTGAAATAGATTTGATCTTGACACACTCACTTCCAACTTGAGAAAAAGGACATACAGCATTCTCATCCTCCGCACTTGCTCCATTTTCAAGAAGAATTTGCACGATATTTGCATGACCCCCAGCTGCAGCCATATGCAGCGTGGTTGCCTAGAGATAATTTGATAGATGAAATGGACGAAAAGAAGAACGCCGAGAAGAACATCGATTGTAAACATGTTATACTTCAGAGATAGAATACATACCTCCATTGTTTTTGTCTTGGCTTGAATGACCATAGCCTTATCGATCATCATTAGTTCCTTCACTACAGCGAGCGAACCCTCAAAACATAGTTTATTGCGCATATGAAATCTTTGCGCTGACGCAGACACTTCAACTTGCAGCGGATCAATCCAGCTACGGCAATCCAGACTTCTGCTACGCAACTGAAGTGCGCCGAAACGCAATGCCGCATCTGACGTAGCACGTGCTTTGTCTGCGTCATTCGAACCATACCTTCATTGCAGCAATATGTGCACAAGTGAAACCATTGTGGTCGATGGCGGTTAACACAGCACGATTGTTCTGTTTCATTTTCAAGAATAACTTCACGACGTCTGGGTAATCATTCTGAAAGTTGCAAATCAAATGATGAATATTTCTTTTCTAACAAGACCATGCAAAAAATCTGTAGATCATCAGGGGGACTACCTGTGATAAAAGCTCATTAGCAAATGAAACCTACTCAAATAGTCCACTTACCTCAGCAGCGAGATGTAAAGGTGTTTGACCTTTGTCATCTCGAGCATTAGGGTTGGCACCAAGGGCAAGAAGTGTTTGACTAACAAGCAACTGCCCGTTTCTGGCAGCAAAGTGCAAAGCTGTCTGTAAGATATTGTTGGGCATCATCAATCAGAAGAAGCCATGTCCACGTAGGAAGAAATGAGCGCCACCTGATTTTCCAAGGTGATTGCTTCCAAGGCAGCTCCGTGATCCTGTACCAACACAGTCACAACTCTGTTATGGCCATTTTGAGCAGCGAGATGAAGTGGAGCCTCACCAGTTTTGGATTTGCTAAAGATGGCCGTTGTTAATGAAAAAGTCCCTTTTGTATATTTTCCAGAATATTCTGTACACGGCATTCTGCATTGCCTTTTTTCCAAGAGCTAGTTGTAATTCAAGGAACAAAAGTTAAACGAGTTGTTATGGCCCAGTCACAGCACGTAGAGACTAACATTGTTAAGCTTAAATTCAAGAGTGAGGCATGTGCCATACTTGATCTTCTTGATCCACTTGATCCGCTCAATCCACTTCGCATTGGTCTAATCAGCAAACTGACCAATAGCAAAGTGGATGAGGCGGATCAAGTGGATCAAGAGGATCAAGTATGGCGCTAGCCTGAGAGGCAACGACCGTAAGAAAGATGATGTAATGTTTATCAAGGAGATGGCCACGGCAGAACCCCTTTTGAACTGCTCGCCATGGCTGCGCGCTTCTGATTGGTCAGAGTACTGATGCGATTGGCCGAAATTGAGCAGAATGGAAGGAATGAGTTGTACGCGCAAGCATGTTCTTTCGTCTGTACATCTATCTTGTTCAACAGGATAGCGTTGGCCGGAAACAACGCTTTGAACCATGTTGCTTTCCGCTGGCTTTTTGACTCATCTGCTTTTTAGCGACGCCAACAGAATGAACAAATCACATCAGAAGTTACCAAAAAGTCATGTCAAAAGGGTCCGAGAGAGTGGACGGTTCAAAAAAGCCTACACCTCGTCCCAGCGACGCGTTTATTTATGTTTGAAACAACCATACCTGTTCACGAACGCCTTGTGCTGCAGAAGCAGATGCACTAGACCTAGATGACCATTCATCGCAGCCAGATGGAGCGCTGTTCGACCCTGATCGTCGAAAACGTCGATTCGTGCATGATGTTGCAAAAGGGTTTGCGCAATACTGGTGTGTCCTCGTGCACATGCTTCCAGTAACGGTGACCACCCATTCTAAAATTTGCAGTAGTTTAGATAGAAACCAATCGAATGTGCAGGTGAGTCATCGAACGCAGAAATGGGACGCTAGTGCGGACGCTTTCGGCATCTCTGAGATCAGTCGAACCTTACCTCTCTTACCGTCTGGTGCCTCTTCTAAACGCGCACTGCTTCAAGCAGACGCGAGTGCAACCAGTCTCCGCGTGCGTCGACCCGTTCATATCCTTAAAGGCAGCGTCCAGGCAAGTCCGGACCTATGGGGATTTTTACGTGGAAAGTATTTTTGGGGCCCTAACTAAGCCACTGCCCAACCGGCAGCTCAGGTAGTGCCCTAACGGCTGAGATATTCCCCTCGAAACTGGACCCCGCGATCGTATTCGCATGGATTCATGGCAGTTTCACGCCAGGACACACGCTTTGCGCCATGAATCCATGCGAAATACGATAATAGGGTCCAGTTTCGAGGGGAATATCTCAGCCATCACAGCACTTCCTGAGCTGCCGCTTGGGCAGTGCCTTAGTTAGGGCCCCAAAAGTACTTTTCACGTAAAAGCCCCATAGGTCCAGATCTGCCTGGACGCTGCCTTTAACAACTGCTTACCTTGCTCTGCCGATTCTGCACAATCTGCACCGTTCCAGCTCCAATCTTGTTTACCATGGCTAGTAGGACAGCTTGATTACCAGATCGCGCTGCCATATGCATTGCTGTTTCATCGGTAGTAATGGATTGCAAATCCACCTAAACATTTCGTGAATAGATACCCGACAAGATAGATAGCTAGATTCAAGGTTCACGACGCACTTGTCCTCCAGAGTCGACAAGCAGATTCATGAGTTTTGCATCTTCTCCGGAGTAATGGACTTTATCCGAGGTTATCTGAGCAGCATAATGAACAGCCGTAAAACCATCCTGAAGGAATAACGTAAACATTTTCTGAATTGAAAAAAGCGTTCCAATTTGTAGTCATTTGATCACTTGAGGCAAAAAGAATGTTTTCGACGTCTTGGTTGCTAAACCTAGGTATACAAGAGTTGTGCGACAGGTTGACGAGAGTGAATCCTCTCCTCTGTTGGTTTGCTATCATAATTCTATCAAAATTGTTGGGTGATGCTGCTTACATTCGTTCTTTGGTTCACATATTCTCGAATCTCGTCTGGTGAACAGCTTTGTGCCATATGGGAGATAATCAACTGTGCAGCTTCGTAATTACAGGACTTGGCAGCCACGTGCAGCGGAGTCTCACCAGCTTTCGAAACCAGTTTCAAATTGGCGTCATCATTCAGAAGCAATCTGCAAACAACTGCTTTGAAAACTATAAATGGACTTCTGATCCAAAACTGCGGAACTTGATAATGTCCTTGTTGCCATTTCGGGCAGCAATGTGAAGGCAAGTCTCTCCATCTTCTTGTGCAACATCCGGTTGACCTCCAGATTTTAGCAACATCATGGCACATTCTCGAGATTCTGGCCCATCTAATGAAGCCGCTAAAGTAAATCAATCTCAGGGTTTGAGGGCTTATCTAATCAGTGATTCAGGTCCTTGTTGACGGACTCCCTTAGCACTCCACAGCTGCCTGCGTGCCAGCGCCGTGCTAGCGCGGTCCCAGAGCCGCCAATCGTTCAGTGCGGGGGCATCCACGTGGACGTTGGCCCGGCGCTGGCACAGCCAACTCTGGACGCCCTTCTAGAGTGACTTCTTTCAAACCCCAACCTTGGCCTCTCCACTAACCACGCTTCGCTCCAGTTTGCAATCTGGGTGAGATAATGCGAGCAGAGAATAAATGATTGTGAATTGTGTGTTTTACTGTCGCTTTGCAAAAATCATCTTGGAAAGAACTGCGCATTGTCAAAACCAGGGCGTGGCCATGGGCGGAGTCACAGTTCCAGGTAGGCTGGGTCCCGCAGATCCTGCGACATATTTGCCTTACCTATATGTAACGCAGTTTGCCCGAGTTCTCCTCCTTTCACATGTATATCGGCTCCAGCACCCAACAATGTTTCCACCACAGAGGCTTTCCCTGACTGCACTGCTACATGGAGTGCTGTGTAATTGTCCTAAAAACTATGCTTATTCCGACTTTGTCCGGACAACAACGACTATTAGGAGTACTTTTGTCCGTATATCGACGTTTGTTCCACGTGCAATAAGCATCTTCACAACGTCGTTGTAGCCAGCTGCTGCAGCTGAGTGCAGTCCCAAGGCGCCTTTTTTGTTTGGCATGTAAAGAGGAACACCTGAAATTTGTCAGTAGAAGGAATGTGCTGGAAGGGAAATCTTACCTTTACCTTACCTCTTTTCAGAAATGCTAGCGCCGTGCCCGTATGTCCAGTAGTGGCTGCTAGATGTAGAAGTGTTGATCCATCTCGGGTTCGCGCAGCGATCGAAGCATTAAATTTGTCTATCAACTGCTCGACGACGTCCGTAAATCCGCGTTCTGTAGCCACATGGAGTGGGGTTTTATCATCCTGCAAAACAGTTCGATATGACGGAAAATTGAGGGGGCGGTAGAGTATATACAGTAGTCGCACAGCAGTTTCTTTGTGTAACTGCACTACTTCACGGATTTGCAGCGGATAAATGAATCTATAGAGTGCAGTGCCTTTCTCGTACTTCATGCAATTATTTCCGAGTTACTTTTTCGTCTTTCTATGTTTTGAGCGCTATTCTTCCCAAAACTTGGTCTAAGAGCTTTACCCCACACACTAATTACGAAAACCGTATTGCGTTTTTCTTGGAGTTCGGTAAGTGTACTAATGAGTCTAAATCACAGATGTGATTAGCATGTCGAAAATTCCTATGGATCAAGCTTGAGCAGTTTTATAGCCATTGGTCAACTACACTGCAGATTTCAAAATGGTGTAATTACACAAAGTGACTGCTGCGATATGAACGATACTGTTCAGCGCTTTTCAAAGACAATGTTGACTAGAAACTGATTACCTTGTCATGAATATTGGCATTAGCATGTAGTTTGAACATGATCTTCATGAGATGTTGATCGCCTAAGTATGCGACTTCGTGCAAAGCTGTTCGTCCAATCGCATTCTGCATATTCGGATCATTGCATCCAGCTGCGATCGCCGTTTGTACAGCAGCTAAAGGCCCACTTGTTTCGTTTGCAAGATAAATGATGAAGGTGTAGGCCATTGAATCGGGGGTAAATATAGTGTCGCTGCAGGGCGACATGTGCCGACATATCTATTTGCGCGTGAGCAAGTGTGACGCCCGTATTGCCGACGATTTGCGCGCAAAATGGCTGTAGAGTGCAAATGGCAACTTTTTCACGCGCAAATGCTGTCCGCGAATGTCGGCACCTTAGGGGCACTATACTCAGTGTCAGATCTGCCAGCTTATAACTCACCCATGTTGCCACTACGACAAGCAAGATGAAGCAACGAATCTCCGGCTCTATCTATCGCAGTGGCTTGTTCATGTGTGGAGGTGGATAAGAGAAATTCAACGAGTGAGACGTTTCCCGTCTAAAATATATGGCCCTTTTCGTGAAGTTCGGGTTCTTCAAGCTAGGAATTCTATAAGGAGATAATACCAAGAACTCCGAATTTTTAGAATGCGGCAGAGCTGTCACAATTTTATGGAAAAACAAGGACAAATCTGATCTTCTGTCAGTGAAATCAGTGAGTCAAACTAGAAAGTGATACAGTTACAGTCGAGTAGATTTTCCGCTTAACGCAACGACAATACGACCCACCGGTGGGTCGTACATGTACTGCCATTCCGGACAATACGACCCACCGGTGGGTCGTATGCTTTCTGGGGTTTTTGATTTTGCTAGTTCACGGTGAATTTTTTACGCAAACCAGGTAAACTTCTGTGTACATCTCTTGGAGTACTTTCCAAAAGATCAACACTTCAGACCACAGGACCCATCAGTGACCTGAAAATATCACGCAAAAATTTTGCGAAATATGCTCTGGTCCGAAATGGCAGTCATCTAAAAATCGGCCCTGTCGTGAATGTGTTGATATAGTGTGCTTGCGCTGAAGGTGAAATGCGGTGAAATTCGCGCGTGAACAAATAGCTGCGCCCGTGACGCTGGCTAATTGCGCGCGCAAAAGACTGGCATTACTGGCGTGGCTACTTGTTCACGCGCAAATTTTGCCGCATTTCACCTACAGTGCAAGTACACTATATTAAGCGGAAAATCTACGCGACTGTAGGTTTTTGTAAAAGTGTGCAGTTGCACATCTTTTAGAATGGATTCATCACGGGATTCATATAATGTTTTCTTATGTCGCACACGAAGGCGACACAGAACATTGGCAAAGCCGTTCATTTCGATAGAAGGCACGCGCCATACGAACAGATTTTCCGATTAGTGTAGTGTGCTTGCACTGCAGGTAAAATGCAGTAAAATTTGCGCGTGAACAAATAGCTACTCCTTTGATGCCGTTTTAGTGCGCGCGCAAACTGTCGGCATTACTGACGAGGCTATTCGTTCACGCGCAAATTGTACCGCATTTTACTAGCAGTGCAAGCACACTATATTGAGCGGAAAATCTGCTCGACTGTACTTTATTCACTTTATCCACTTGCTACTGGTCAAGCTAGCTGTTGGAGACGTGAGTGAATTGGATCAAGCGGATCAAATGGATCAAGTATGGCGTGTGCCGAAGAGGCAATAAGAAAGTGATTAGCCTCATCGGATACGGTAGTCAAATGGGAGCCAACTTGCTCAATTTTCACCAATTTTTAGGTAACTCTAGCAGACTTTCAAACGATCGAACAACGTCCAGCGTCATATCGTATACCTACCGTATCTCATCGAAAATTCAATTAATTTGTTTAAATTACTTTGCTTTGAAAAAAAGAAGAGCGATGCAAATTACAATGAAAAATTGGGGTTTACATCTTCGCAAAACTTAGTTCTCACACTCTTATGGTGAAACAAAATTCTATTTTTGAGGAAAAAGTGGTTTCAAATTTTGTAAATCACCTTCATGGCGAGATGTACCGGCATTGCGTCATTACCATCACGAGCAAGTCGTTGTTTGGGGAAAACCTCCAAAATCCGTTTCACAATAGCAGGACCCTCCGAACCAGTTCGTAGACAGGCCAAGTGTATCGGAAGTTGTTCATGAGGCTGGAAAACAAAATTATTCAGGCTTTCAGACTTGTACTCGATAAATTGCGCTTCTATGGTTGTCAAGACATAATATGTCAACAGAAGCGATTATTCCCCCTCCCCCCCCCCCTTTCGCCACCCTCTCCATCCTTATGGCGAAAGTATTTACGGTTTTCGCTAAAAAAAGTGGAATTTCGAAAGTTTCACTCAAACAGCCTTTTTACAAATGTAACAGCACCATATAGGTATCAAATTGTCAAACAAATATGGTGCTAAGCATAATCGAGTGGAAAGCTCTTCCAGAAGTTGTTCTAGTGGGCGAGGACGAAACTTCTTTGATCTATGGTTTTTTACAATTTTATCATTGGTTCATAAAATCTGATAAAAAATCAGCAAATATGAGATCAGCGTTGACTTATATTGGAAGAAGGCTTGAAATCATAAGTCAATAAATTAATACAAAAGTCATTATATCAAAAACTCTCACATTTTCCTCGAAAAAAAAAAGATGCTTTGATGGAAAGAGATTGGGTCTAATCAAAATGCGAAACCGCATTCAGCGAAAGATTAAAAGCTCAAAGAAAATCATTACAAATTAGAACGTTCATATCGATCGCTAAGGATATCCCTCGACACTTAAAATTGCTTAAAAATATTCTCCACGAAGCTGAAGATATCAAAATCAATCAATATTTTTTTGTACTACAGAATGGTTTTTGTTTTTTGATATATTGCAAAATTTCTGAGTGTATTCTTTCTTATAGTTTCTCTTTTGTTGGAACTGCGCAAGAATTTTTACCCAATATATGCAAAAATATCAATATTTATAACATTTCTTACAAATGTGCAGAGATTTCCAGAAATTTGCCCTGAAATAAAATTCACTTTCGTATTTGTGTATAGAAAATCATCGTGCCTATTCAAAAAAGATGAAATCGCGGAAAACCGCGCGGCTCCCGCAGCGAACGCGCCTGCAAATCTAGCACTTTTATTGGTTCACTATTACTAATTTGAAAAATGCATGTTAGGTGCTTGAGTTTTGCAATCAAGAATTTGTTGCATTTTCGAATTCTGATTCTAGAATTGAGTACGTGTCTATATTAAGGCTAACTATTCATTTTGCCCCAATTCAAAGCCCCTTTAAATTTTGCCAATTTCATTCCTACTCCTTTCTCTAGCTGCTTTACGTCAGATTTTTGGAAAAAAGTTGTTTTGCTCAAAATTGCATAGAAATGCATGGGGCCACTTAAGCATTGTAAACGCAGGCTCTTCGATTGTCGCCAGTATAATAGCTGTTCTTTGCCTCAAACATACCCCTCCTGGCTTTCGTAATAAATCGCTGCTTTTAGCGATGATCGCATTCAACATTCTTTCATCGGAATACATGGCGCAGACATGTGCAGCATTATATCCTTCCTGGAAAAATCAAATATGAGTACGGGTATATAAACGGAGGAAATTTTCCTTTGATGAACCCACATTCGTGACCGCATTGATATCAGCTCCTTTTTGTAGCAATTTTTCAAAGAACATTCGTTTTCCATCTTTGACCGCAAGCAAGAGAGCCGTGTACCCTTTCTGAAAAAATTTCGAAAAAAATAGCAGAAAAGTGGAAAGCAAAAATACAAATTTCAAAGCATATATGAAATTTGTTTCTGCTAGTCGAAAAAAGGTTCTACATTTTCTAGAAAACCAATTATAGGGGGGGGGGGTGGTAAACACAAGTACATACGAAATCGTTCTGAGGTTTTTGTGGATGAGCATAAAAATAATCATAACTTATCATAACTTATAATAACGGGCTAAGGATGTTTACGTGACTTTGTGTGTCTGTGTGTCTGTGTGTCTGTGTGAGAGTGTGTCTGTTACGAAATTCGTAGAGCGTGCTCCAGCCAACCTCCTGGGCCCAAATTTTGCACAGCACATGGTACCAGCACAAAACTCCACCATGCAAAAGCGTGAGCGGATTCGTTGAGTGGAACTCACAGAAATTGCGCGTCAAACGGGTGCACTTCGCTTCTGACCTACAAAATTGGGTCCCTGTCAGCACTTTTTGCGAAGTCGTTGAGGTGTTTGACAAGTAAATGTGCAAGCCTTGGACTCCAGCCCAAATAATGGGCAAAAATCTACTACTTTGCGAAAATGACGCCAAAATGGATTGGTTGCGTAAATGGTCAATTTGCAAGCGTTCTACTGGCGCATTTGAGAAGATTTTTGCGCAGAAGTGTTGCTCGCGGTGGCTATTGGCCTTATGGCAACTACCAAACCATAAAAAATCCAGGAACCCACTCAAATTTGCGTTTGTCTTCCTGCGAAAAGTTTCATCCACGCGAAATCACCGATCTCACGTGAAAAGACTTTCTAAATGAGTGGTTGTTTACATCCTATTCGTGGTATTCGGCCACTGCGCGGTGAGTTTCACTGCCATCATTATAGGAAAGTAATGAGGCATATTGGTAGTAGAGCCAGTGCGAACCTCTGCGAAGCAGAGGTGACGCACTGGTAACTTATAATAATGGGCTAAGGATGTTTACGTGACTTTGTGTGTCTGTGTGTCTGTGTGTCTGTGTGAGACTGTGTCTGTTACGAAATTCGTAGAGAGTGTTCCAGCCAACCTCCTGTGCTCAAATTTTGCACAGCGCATGCTACCCGCATGAAAGTCCAACATGCAGAAGCACGAGCAGATTCGTTGAGTGGATCCCTCAGAAACTGCGCGTCAAACGGATCCACTTTGCATTTGGGCCGCATAATTCCACTTTCGCAAAGTAGTGGATGTTTATGCCAAGTAAAAGTGCAAACCATGAACTTAGACCCAAAAAGTGATCAAAAGTGTATTATTTCAGAGAAACGGCGCCAAAAAGTATTGGTTGCATAAATGGTCAATTTGCCAACGTTTTACCAGAGCATTTAACGAGATTTTTGCGCAAAGACCTAGCGCACGGTGACTGCCGTTCTTATTGCAACTGTCAAGTCCATGGGAAAATCAAAAACCTGTAAAAATTTGCGTTTGTTCTCCTGCAAAAAGTCTCATCCATGCGAAATCACCGATTTCACTTAAAATGCTTTCGGAATGAGTAGTTGTTTACATTTTGTTCGTGATAGTCGGCATTGCTCGGTAAGTTCCAGTGCCATCATTACGCGAGAATGAGTAGGGCCTAGATAGTGGAGCCAGTGCGGGCCTCTGCGAAGCAGAGGTGACGCACTGGTCCATATATAAGGAGAGTTGTTGTGCCTATTCGAATAGCACTTTTAAGATTAGTGGTTCACTAATCGAATGACATAAAATGCTGGAGACAAAGTAATCGGAAAATAAGACTTTCTTCACTGGATGTAACCTATTTCGTTTAAAATAAGCAAGAGGGGCATTTGACGACCTCATCGCATGAAAAACATGCGAATGTATTACATGATTACTTTATTCTCAAATGTTTATGTTGAATGCAAGAAATGACTTTATTCACATGCAGAACTGACGAGAAAACTTTTAATCTAAAGAAATTGTGAGCACCTCAGCTGAAGAACTCAGGAATTTTCGTCAAGCAATTATGACGTAGAATGTAAGCAACACTAAAAATTGCAATAATTCTTGGCCCACGGTGTAAACCCCTTTGAGCAATTTCCGATGAGAATTCCAGCAAAAAATATTGAAAAACAACGATTTCCAAAACAAAGGAATGAACACGACTGTTGTAACGAACGGAAATTTGCATCGAATGAACGATCCAATATCTGATTTTGAAAAAATTCCAAATGGAACGCGAAGTTCGGCGAACTCCGGCGGAGTGCGGTGACTTTTTACAAGGTACGAGCGGTATTGTATTCAAATAAAGGTTTTTTACATACTTGTTCGATTATTCGGTTCCAACTATAATAAACACTTGATTATGTAAAATTCTAAAGACCCCCCCCTCCCCTTGGTTGCAATCGAATGTCCCAAACCCTCGTCTCACTCGACGTTCGTCAAAAGCGCATGCACCTCACTTCCGCTCACGGCGGCTGAGGCTGTCATGCTATCGGTTTCTGGACTTTTCGCTAAGGTTTTGTTACTTCAATGAAATGTTCGCATCTGAAATTTGGTAGAAAGTTTTGCTCTATAGATGCAAATGCAGGAAACCAGGCAACGGCATGGTGCTATAAAAAAGAAAAGTTTCTGGAAGAAAATGAACTGCAGAATAGTATTAGGTCGTAACATAAGTTTTGTTACACTCAAGCTCATAACTCTCAATTTTTTTTCTCAACTTTAAGTTGGGTGGTTGTGATTTTTTACTATACACATGTCACATGTGAAAGTTAAAATTTTTGAATTTTTGAAAATTTTCTGAATGCTTTTTGCAAATCTCCAACTTGTGTTATCGACAGTCCTAGAACTTCCAAACTGCCTTCTTATTGGTACTGATCCCAAAAATCCATGAAATACAAGAGTCTAGAAAATAAGGATGACGAAATTTTGAAGAAAAATAAAAAAAATGAAGATTCAAGTGCCGTCATAAGTTGCCCTTATTTTTACTGTAACCCATATGTGTAAAATTGGCAATGACACCAACAGATAATCCTTGTCCATTGCTCATATATGTCAAATATTAGACTTTGCTAAAGTTTCTAGAGTTTTCTAGAGGAAAATGAAAAAAGCGTGACAAAACTTATGCTACGACATAATAGATACGCTGAGCCTTGTCCGAAGAAACGTTCTAGGTAGAAAACTTGCAAAACCTCAAAAATGACAGAAAAAATATGTAAAAAGTCGATTTTAGTAAAAGGAACTTCTCATTTATCCATGACGCTCAAAACATGAGTGACAACAAAACACAAAACACGAATAGTAAACTTGTGGACCATATTTTAGGTCAAATTATGTAAAATTCGAAACTACTTTTATTTCGCAAATTTCGGATGGACTAAATAGATACGTAGGAAACTTGCCTTCTGATATTCTTCACAAAACAAATATTTTCTAGGCCTTATAGTGCCTCTTTTAATATAAGTAGAGTTCAGAAACCTCAGCTCCATTGACTAGCTTGTCTACTGGATTAGAATTCCCAACTCTACTGGATTTGAGTTCCCAAAATTTCTCGTTGTGCTTTTACTCTATTTTTCAATAATAAGGTCCAATCTATCAAAGCAAATTGCGCAAGCACAACCTATAGAGAAAAGCCTTTGTCTACTTTTGAAAGCAATTTTCAAACAGGAACTTATGACGGCAAACACTTCGACTATTTTACTTTGTAGTCTACGTCCTGTAGTTGAGTGGATTTGAAGCTTGAATAGTGTCTATACGGGGCCGCCAACGCTTGCGCGCGGAAAAATGACCATGGGGCGCGCATTTTCTTCTGCGCCCCAATTTCGATGCATGAGTCTAGGAAGTACTGCGTCATCTTATATATAAAGCTGAATGTCTGTTTGTATGTCTGTATGTCTGTCTGTATGTCTGTCTGTATGTCTGTATGTACGTATGTTCCGAATAGAAAATTCCATTTCTGAACCGATCGGGACCAAACTTGGCACACATACACTTTGGGCCCCGGCGAGTGTCATAGGCTACTTTTCGTCATCGATCGATATCGATTTTATCGATTTTTATCGATTTTTTTGCTGAGTTCACCTACGGGGCTGGGAGTTGGCACAGGGGGGTAATCGAGCATGGGGATTCCGAATACAATATTGGTTTTCAGGATTATCGATTACTTTTATCGATTTTATCGATTTTTTTGCAAAGTTTGAGCTACGGGGGTGGGAGTTGGCACAGGGGGGTAATCGAGCATGGGGATTCCGAATACAATATTGGTTTTCAGGATTATCGATTACTTTTATCGATTTTATCGATTTTTTTGCAAAGTTTGAGCTAGGGGGCTGGGAGTTGGCACAGGGGGGTAATCGAGCATGGGGATTCCGAATACAATATTGGTTTTCAGGATTATCGATTACTTTTATCGATTTTATCGATTTTTTGCAAAGTTTGAGCTAGGGGGCTGGGAGTTGGCACAGGGGGGTAATCGAGCATGGGGATTCCGAATACAATATTGGTTTTCGGGATTATCGATTACTTTTATCGATTTTATCGATTTTTTTGCAAAGTTTGAGCTAGGGGGCTGGGAGTTGGCACAGGGGGGTAATCGAGCATGCTGATCATTCCCAAGGGGGGTGATCAGCATGCTCGATTACGCCCCTGTGCCAAATTCCAGCCCCCTAGCTCAAATTTTCAAAAAATCGATAAAATCGATAAAAGTAATGGACGATCCTGAAAACTAATATTGTGTTCGTAATCAGCATGCTCGATTACCCCCTGTGCAAAATCCCAGCCCCGTAGCTCAAACTTTACAAAAAAAATCGGTAAAATCGATAAAAGTAATGGACGATCCTGAAAACTAATATTGTGTTCGTAATCAGCATGCTCGATTACCCCCCTGTGCAAAATCCCAGCCCCGTAGCTCAAACTTTACAAAAAAAATCGGTAAAATCGATAAAAGTAATCGACGATCCTGAAAACTAATATTGTGTTCGTAATCAGCATGCTCGATTACCCCCCTGTGCAAAATCCCAGCCTCGCATGTCGAACTTTGCAAAAAAATCGATAAAATCAATAAAAGTAATCGATGATTCTGAAAACTAATATTGTATTCGGAATCCCCATGCTCACTTCCCCCCCTGTGCCAACTCCTAGCCCTGTAGGTGAACTCTGCAAAAAAATCGATAAAAATCGGTAAAATCGACATCGATCGATAACGAAAAGTGGACTGTGACACCCGCCGGGGCCCGAAGTGTATGTGTGCCAAGTTTGGTCCGGATACGGCGGAGCCGGGTAAGCCAGCTAGTGCCCTATATAGGACAAGCGGTAAACATCTATGGAAGGTAATCACAACGGGCTGGACTAGTAAGCATCAGAAAACGATGATCGAGAACAATGTTGGTCAAATTTGAGAAAATTTACGCGGTTCTTTCAAAGTGGAAATGAATTGAATAACAAATTAAATTCAAAAAAGTCCGAAATATATCAATCAGTTATTTACTAGTTGTTTGTCAACTGCATTCATCAACGCGTCTAACAAGCATTGTTATTACAAGGAGAACTAAAACTGGAATAATAACAGTGAAAAAATATCAAACTCAATTTAATTTCCCAGAATAGACAAAGGAAATAACTGCAAAACTCTGCTGCTTGGAGTATATTTAACTAAAGTTAACAAAACTCAGGTTCAATAAGAAATGTTCCCACTTATGATTGTCAGGTAAAGTCCAATCCCGGGCGAAGGCGAATTGCTCGAAGCGCGTGCGCGCGCAGCGGTCAGTGCTCACAGCCTTCAACGCTGCGTGCTTTGCTTCATGGGCAATCGCCTTCTTCTGGGACTAGCATTTGGATAAAATTTAGGAAAGACTGATTTGACAAAATTGCTAAATTAGCTAATTTATGAATATGTGTAAATAAGAAAAAAAAGAAAAAAAAATGATCATGTGCTTACCTTGTCGCATAGTGACAACTCGGTTTTGTTCGGAACTATGTCAAGCTCTTTTTCAACCAAATCCCATTGATCCTTCTTTGCCAAGTAAAGCACCTAAAAATTACAGCTTGAATTCACTTTTTACATAAAGGCTTTTCTACTCACCCTTGTTTGCGTATCGGCCAGTGTCAAATCGACTTGCGCTTTCTTTATATCCAGCACACGTTTCCCGTCATCATCTTCTTCTTTTTTCTCTTTTTTGCGTTCTTTATGAGGAAGTTTGCTTTTGAATCCTTTCTTGTCTTTATCTTTATCTTTTTCCTTATCCTTATCTTTATCCTTGACCTTGTCTTTCTCCTTCTCCTTATCTTTCTCCTTCTCCTTATCTTTCTCCTTCTCCTTATTCTCCTCCTTCTCCACTTTCCCTTTCTGATCGTCCTCTTTGGACTCTTTAGCCGTGGTCTGAATTGCTCCAAATTCAAAAAAAAACTTACTACCGGATTCGCCCCCAACCTTTGTATCCGATGAGGATGAGGATTTTTCTGGGGTTGCTGAGCCCTCCAAAGGCTTCTCCTTTCCTTCTCCACTGCTTGTCGAGTCCCTCGATTTTCGCTTCGGTACAAAAGCTATTCTGGGCCTTTTGCTGTCATCCTCGCCGAAGGACCCTTTCCTTTTGTCGCCATCGATTAGTTCCTTAGAAAAATAATTTTTTCACGAAAAAAGCTCAGAACTATAACACTTACCCTCAAGCCAAGACTTTCATATTCTACTTCATCTTTTGTTTCTAAAAGTCGCTCAAGCATTCCTTTATAACCCATATCACTTGCCGATTTTGGTCGTATAATTGCATCAACTACCTAAAATACTCGATAAGTGGACATAATATCCAAAAAATCAATCAATAATAACCCACAGGGCTTTTATATGGAACACCTTTCAACTCCTCAAGTGCTGTGCCCAAAATACCAATTCGGGTACTTTCTTCTGCTCTGGAATTATTTTACTAGCAAAAAATTTATTCTTCCAAAAAACGATGATCTTTACCTGTCTTGTTCTAATTGTGCTAGAGTTTCTCGCAATTCTTTAAGGCCAGAGGCCAATATTCCTTTTCGCCCATTTAGAGAATGTGCTCTTTTTCGCATAATGGGAATTTGTGCCTAAAATAGAAGAAAACTCATAGAGTATAGTATATTACGATCATTTATTTATTTTGTCCAGTTATTATTTTCACCAAATAAATGAAGTAAGACATTGATCTGGGGAAAAAACCATTTTGTACAAAAACAGAGACAGAATTTAGAACGCAACAATAAAAAACTAGGTAGTACAGGTCCATGATGTTAAAAATAAAACAAGGTTCTGCCCAAGCAGTTGCCGTAGAAAAATAAATTTTAACATTGTTACGTAATTTTACATAACCAACTTACTTTAGCATCTTTTTGGAGGTCCCAAAGAGCACTGGCAAGAATTCCTGGCGGTCTGTCAACTTCAGTCATCGTTAGCTGAAGTCTGAAAACAAAAATAGTATCTTAAAGGGTAAGCGCTGAATAATATTGATTTCAGCTTTCAAAAAAATAATATTGATTTCAACTTTCAAAAAAGGCAACACTGCATGCTTGATTTCTCTCCCCCCCCCCCCCTCCTAAACCACGGGAAATTGATTGAGATAGAAATAAAATCGTGCTTTATAAGTGAAAAGCTATACCGGCAGGGGTGCCAAGCAATTCCCTCCCCTTCCCCTCCCTTCCCCCCCCCCCCTCCCTCCGTCCTCTCTTACTTCTATCCGCTTTGCCATGTTACAAAGTCAATACATTGAAGTCTAAACAAGTTTTTACAGAAAGTGAAGTAAAATTATCCAAAACTGCAAAACTAAAAACTTATTTTCACCCTCCTTCTCCCTCCCCCCCCCCCCTTTTCGCCCCATTATGTAAAGAGAAACAAAGAATACCCAGTTGAAACTTTACGGGAAAAAAGTAAACTTACATAAACTCCACCTATCTACACCAATGAAGAAAAACGAAAAATCTAGAAAACTCATTTTACAGGATAAAGGGATGTATTTACTTGTCCTGGTCATTTGTAACAAAATATGTGAGCCTGCACCTTGTGCGCGGCACCCGACGGCACGTTTATACTAGTATCCCTCATCAAAACTTTTCCTAGAGTAACAAACTGTAAAAATGTGTACTATTGACTAATACACATACAGTCAAATCAGAGGAGACAAGAAAACAAGGAGAAATCACTGGAAATGAGCAGGTTCTATTCTTCCAAGTCGTCAAGTAGTGCGCATGGTGTGCAACATGCATATTAAGTTGCAAATGACTCGACGATATAATTGCCGAAAGCTAAAAGCTGCAATCCTCGTTTTTTTCTCCCTCTCCCCCCCTCCAATGGCTGAAAAATGCAAAAAACGAGGTCACCTTGACTTTCTCTAGATTTTACGAAGTCTCCTTTGTCCCGAAACCAAAATCCTAAAAAATCCCCAAAAAACGAAATGTCGATCAAAAAAAAAACATCGCAAATTTCATGTCTTTTCGGCACAAAAGCGAAACCCTCTTTGCTTTTTGTCCTGAAAACGATATCCAGCTTGCTTTACAAACTACCTATGCCGAGCCCCCCCCCCCCTCCTGCTTCCTGCTACCAATTACAGAGGTTGGAGGAAATTTGAGAGCGAAAATTCTTTAACAGGACAAAACGTCAAATTTACACATAGGAACCAAACGCTAAAAGCTTGTATTCCTTTTCCTCCTCATCCCCCTACCCCCCTTCATCCCCACTTCTTGGCCGCATCCTTTAAAAAACAGGAAAATCTAGAAACAAAGGCTGACTATACATGAGTGCTGAGCGCTTAAAGAATAATCTCCTTCCTTACCCTAGACCCTCTAAGAAAAACAACGAAAGCACCTACACTATAACTATGAGGAGTGATTTATATGACAGAGGTGGCAGTATGTTGGCTGCTTTTGGCAAGGTGTGCTGGAGCTGCCGGGCTCGAGATTGGCTATAGTCGTCGGGGCCCCAGGTGAGGCCGAGAGCCGAGCTCACCACGCCCCACGCCTTCCGGTCATTGAAGCGAACAACGAGAAACTCCACTTTCCGCTTGACAACTGTGTTATTTCGAAAGCCCTTCCCCCCCCCCCCCCCCGAGTGTAAGTCTGATCCGAGTAAAAAACCGCAAACCTATTTCACGCTTTATGAGTATTATATATCTCAAGTGAAAATCTGACGTGGTAGTGTAGATTTGGTTTTTAGCTTGCGATTTTGCGAACAATGCTTAGTTCCCTTTTTTCGTAGCGAGATTACCTCAGAAACAGAAAAAAACAAAAAAAAAGAGTCAAGGTTTGACCAGACATGTAGGCAGTATATGTTGAAATACGAAAAGCATGATATTGAATAAAGTGGAGAATTTTTAGTGAAAATTTTTCACGGATTTTTTGGACGATTTTCATTACCACGCCGACATAATTCAAAACTACCTCATTTATTATTGATTATTTTATAGAATCTTCTTATAATCTTTGCACTATTTCATCTTTTAGAAACAGATTTGCAGGTTTTTTTTCGATTGCTTCTTACTCAGCTTCAATTTAAAAAAATTTTCTCTCAAAGTATCGCTTCGTTCGTGATATTAAAATGTTGAATACTCGCGGTAGTATATCGGTAAAAGGAGGATGACGCAGAAATTATATCAGTTGTTCTGTTGTAGGTAATTTTAGAACAACTTTTATGTTTATTATGTACAAAACATTTCAGAAATTTTTTGTATCTTTTTATTTTTATGCTTTTATGTTTTATCTTTTATATTTTTTATGTTTCTTGTTTTTTAGGTTTTTATATTTGCTATGTTTTATTTTTATGTTAATTCCAGAACTTTTATCCACTGTTTTTGAAGTATTGAGACATTCTGCATAAAAACGATCTGATTGATGAATTGTACATCTGCACCCGCTTTTGCGATAGATTTGACTTCTTGGAAAAAACAATGATGGTACCACTCAAAATAAACTGAAGATGCGTATGAACGGCCTGTTTAGTTTCTCTTTTAGTTTTCGAGAGTGGCGTTATTGGACTTGGAATTGCTCAGTATCACGGTCCCTTAATCTACAAATCTTATTAGTAGTTTAAGGACCACTCAGTTTCTGCAATAGCGGGAGTAATCCACGTCTCAACTTTTTCACTTTCATCCAATTTTCCACACATATACTGGAAAATATTTATTGTGCAAAATTACACAATGCGCATACTCACGTAAACGACAAAAAAACATAGCTACTCTTTCAAATACACAAATAAATATAAAAAACTCAGATCAGACGCCGATGATTCAAGCAGCCTGGTTCTTCATAAACTCGCGCATCCAGTCGGCAAGTTGTTCCGTTTCTTGCAGGGTTACGGCATTGTAAAGCGATGCTCTGATGCCTCCAACGGACCTGCAAAAAAAATGTGAATCAAAAATTTTTGCCTTCTAATATGGCTTATCCCTTTACCTATGCCCCTTCAGAGAAATCATTCCTCTAGCCTGGGCGCCTTTCAAAAATTCGGCTTCGAGTTGTTCGTCACCACCTTTGATTCGGTAACAAACATTCATATAGCTTCGGCATTGCTTGTCTACAGCACAAGTGTAGAATCCATTCGAGTTATCGATCAGGTTATAGATGGTTTCGGCCTTTTTCTATAATAATTAGGCCATTTTTCTCGATTTTTTCTCAAACGACTAATTCTATCATAGGCAAATTATCGCACGCAGAGAAAGGGCGCCATTGCGGGCGCCGCTGCGTCTCTCTGTTCAAGTGCACTCTCATTTCTGTTACCGTCTGCTGCCTCTTCCAAGCGCGTACTCTCTTCCTCGAACGCAACAGCGTCCAGTCTCTGCGTGCGATGACTCGCATATACTTACCTTGTTGATAGCGTAGATAGCATCCACACCTCCTTGGTCACGGATCCATTTCAGGACCAAGTTGGTCAAATAGATTCTAAACAAGATATTTTCAAAAAAGGACGTCTGGTAAAATATTCTTACCCATAGACGGCTGGGGTATTGTAAAGACTGTTATGTTCTACCATATCCTGATAACTGAGTATTGCTGGAGTCGTTGGTTGGGCCTGAAAGTAAGCCCTTTTTCAACTCCATCGAATCCCTCATAACTACCCTACTTTTCCAATCAAGTCCTTCCTAACCATTACAACGGTCAAACCAGCTGCACCAAGGTTCTTTTGTGTGCCACCAAACACCAATCCATGCTGAAACAAGTCTTTCATTAGATGCAGATTTATAACTTCAAACTAGATGCATACGTGAGCGAAGTCAAATGGTCTTGAGAGGAAGTTCGATGAGATGTCAGCTACTAGAGGAACTCCATGTACCGAAAATGGAGGAGTATGGAATTCGATTCCATGTACGGTTTCGTTGGCACAGTAGTAGAGATAAGCAGCTTCCTAAAAACCAATTTCGATAGTGGAATTCAGAAAAAATTCCAAAATTATAGTTATTCACCTTGTCATGATCCCATTTGCTCTGATCAGGAATGGTGACGAAGGGCTTGGTGGGGTTGAATACCTAAAATTATGGTGTATATAATGCTTTAAAGATCAAGAAAGTTACCGTACTATTATTGTACGAAATTATGAAACAAAAGTTCATTGAAAACGTATTAAATAAATAATAAATAAATCAATAATTTAATAAATAAATTTTGTTCTCTGAAACCCTTGTGTTATTTGACCCCTAACCCTAGATTCTCTTAAGGTGAATGGATTTTCGAGGTATTTTACGCTGGCGTAATCTTAAAATTTCTATTACTGTTAATCCATTATGCTAGTTGATTTTTTTACATTTAACTAATAGATTCAGTTGGAATTTACGGCCACCATGTTCAGCAAACCATGTCCTCAAATTCTGCAAATTTTCTTCACAAAACTTACCTTCTTTACTCTGATAAATTTGCTGGCCTCAGCAGCCGCCTTGTTCGACCAGGCACCGGTCACAATATAATCAGCAAACTCCTTATCTCCCTAAAAAGCATCCAGTCAGCTTGAACTCATTTCTCCCAAATAAGGACATGCCTTTAGATTCAGGGGGATAGCAGCAAATTGTCCAGTGCCTCCTCCCTGCATAAATAGGATTTCGAAGTTATCCGGGACTTTCCTAAAATCCTTTATGTTCTCACAATCAGGTATAAATTTCATCAAGACATGTTCTACAAGCTGCAAAAACAAAATCATTTACGACGATATGATAGAGTGAAAAGTTCCTAATAATCCATCACCAACATGAGTTCCCTCAGTAATGACTTTGTTTCTTCCAACACTTCGGCAAAGTCTTTCGAGCGATGCGACATCTCCAAAATGCTGATGCCTGTACTGTTAAAATTCAGCAGTTCATCACGTGCTTTGACCAGAACCTGGAAAAATATTAGATCGTTAGCAGCATAGAGTACACATACAATGTAGTAACCTCTTCTGGCAATTTAGCGGGTCCAGCTCCAAAATTGATCTTTCTTGGCGAGTTGTCCATGTCTGCAAAAGCTGGGTTTCATAAAGACTATGGCAATATTCTATCATTTGAGATGCGAATTTGCTAATCTCGCAAATGAACATCTACACTTTCGCAAAAAAAAAGAATTAAAAGCAACTCAATTTTAATTACAAGAAGGGCATAAAAGTTAAAATTGAATCGAAGGAAACAGGTGGACAAGATTTGGGCTGCGACGGAAAGCTAATAATGATTAAAAAAATTTGCAATTGGTTTTTGGTCAGGTCTCTTTTCAAACTGCAAGGATATCCTCATCCAATCTGAAGAATAAAGCATTTGCTTATGTCTCATAATAGATCAAAACAAATCAATAGACTTGAATATATATAGCACAGTACTTCGCAACTTTTTCGCTAAATTTCGGACATGAATGATTCAAAAAATTACAAAAGTGAAAAGCATACTGGTCATCTGTATAATCAAAAATCAAACAAAAACGAGTGGAAGCCCTTTGTTCTGGTTATGCAAGCGGCTCTGATAAGTGTTCAAATAATTTGCACGACTAGGGTTTGTGATAAGAAATCCAGCCATTGGTCAAGAACAAAGAATGATCAAGCTTGAAGGAACATGAGAAAACTTATTCGAATCATAAAAGGGAAAATAGGAGATTTGACTATAGCTATGGAAATTTGAACTATTTAAAAATAGTTTAGAAGATGAGAGAAGATTTCTAAATAGTAAAAATGCCCAAATGCATCATTATCTATACCTAGTTCCAAGTTCCAGTAAGCAGTTTCAACGGATCTATCCAATCCCAGCTCAGATTCGTATTAGAAACAAATCTTAGAACAAACAAGGCCGGAACAAGGCCATAGGGACACACTGACGATGACCAAACAAGATATTGGGCTGTTCCAACAACCAAACTGCAAGAAAAAGTGAAACAACGGGATAAAACGACGTAACGACGCCTGAACTGGAATGTCTAGCCAAGTTTTTGCCGAGACGATCCGGGTCAGTGCCAGCAATGATGCAAAACTTGGAGGGTGGACTGGTCATAAGACCGTTCTAAAATGACTTTTGGCTAATCATGCTCTAACACTAGGTCAACAACCCCGTATTTGATGTGCGAAGTGTAACAAAGGCATTATTTTCAGCACTGGTTGACCCTAGGTCACCCCAAATATGAGAAAAGATGTGATAAATTACCGTAGGATTGTAAGACCCTTATAATAAAAAAAAATCTGGAGTTTACATTTGAAAAAAATTACAAAAAAGAAGTCAGCTAAGAGTGATCTCAGAAAGGGAGAGTTTCAAGAAAAACGACTAGAACAATGATCACAAATGGAGAAGGTAAAAATTTGTTGAATATAGTTAAAACTTTGTGCAATTTTCAACATCTCTAAAATACTTCTGAACGGTTTCATTGAGTAAGAACCTCAAATATTCAGTAAAGTGGAGCTTTGAGTATGAACTTCAGAGTATCGAGTCTCAAAGGAATTGAAAAATAGAATCAAAAATGCTATAGAATTAGAAGAATCTACGAAAATTATGATTAGAATAACAATTTCCAAAAGTGCGGTGATAGCGGATAGAACATCTTGTGAAAATACACAGCACTGTTAAACTCGAGATTCCTTACCTTTTTCTTTTCTATCTAAGAAATTTGAAAAAATGTTATTTTCGTGTATTATTGCTAGTCCTACTCCGCAAACACAAATAAAAGAAAAACCTTCGTTCTTTTGCTATCAAGTCTGGGCAAGTGTTCTTTAAAGTCCGAAACGTAGATTCGAAAAAGTAGATGCGTTGGATCGATGTCATTATAATGTCGTTGAAGGAACAACCAACAAGTTCAATTCCAGTCCATAACTGGTGCACCTTGGAAGTTGAAAGTGCCACTTCGGTACATTTGGAAAGATCTGTTTTCATTTATTCCGAATCTATTGAATATGAAAGGGATTTATGAATCAAGAAAATGATGCAAACTCTGTGCAAGTTCAGCATACCGTTATCCAATTCTCAAAGTCTTTTTGTATCAGAAAATCTTCAATTTGTGTTTGTTTCCCAGGGTTATTGAATAATTACATAATAGATCTGGGAATAACTTTGATGTTCCCATAAATGGTCATCAACGATTTGCGATTCATTCGCATGCAATTTTTTGCTCTGTTATTTGCCTGAATCAAATTCGTTCCCAAGAATTTCCTAAGCATGATCAACCTAACCGAATTTATTTTTGAGAATCTCCTAAGCATGATCCCTGTGTGAAAATTCTAGAGAACATTGTTCAAAGATTAGATTTTTTATTCTTAAAAGCAGGTGACTGAGTGACGTTGTCCGAAATCCTCACGAAGCTCATTCTTTGACAATTACTGCTTGAAAACGTCCGTAGAAGTTTAGATTTCTCTTGAAGTCTGAAAATCTGTCGCAAAATCTTGTCTAACAAATGTGAGAATTGAAGGATTATTCTCGGAAATTTCCCATATGATCAGTTTTCACTCTTGGTTTTATCTTGCAAACCTTTGTCTTTTTTTTATCTTACTCTTGTATTAAATTTGAAAACGTTCAGTAGCCTCCGGTGATAACAAATTCACGGAAAACTTCAGACAGACCCATAAGTGTTTCGCTCTTGGTAAACCTCTTCTGTACCTTTTTTGTAATCTGTTCTTCACAAGAAGTTTTCAAGCTGCCTTAGAAATAAACTTTTCATTATCAGCAAAACTAATGCGTTTATCAAAGTTAAAAGTAATATGCTTTTCCAAAAATGGTGCGACAAACTCGTAAATCCCCATTACGATCCTTTACTGTTCTGTATCTGTTTTCCCACTGTTTGTATCTCGAGTCAATGACACTATTGGGGGAAAAAGTTTATACGACAGAGTCAACACATGTGGCCCGCTCTTCGCGTTTTTGTAAACCAAACCACCGTCCTTCGGCTTTCGAAGCAAAATCAGGAACATTTCGAACCTTGGCGCCGGTACGACACATTTGCGACCACTCGCACTGTTCTTACAACCGACATCGATCAACGTCGACGACGTCGTTTTGCTTTTGCGTTTCTGTCAATGATTGCTGGCGTCATCGAATGCCATTACTTCTCATTACAGTTGACACAGAATCAGAATGAGTGTGCCGACATCAGTGCCATGTATTCTTCTTTCAGATGCACGCTCAGTTAATATTATTTCTGTCACTGCTACTGCCGGCATGTTGGGCCATTGAATGTTACACGGTAATTCTTATGAGTATTTGCGTTAAAAAAATTATCGAAGTCTAACAAATCATTGCGATGACCTCAGCGTTTTAATATAATTCTGACTAGTTCGGTATATTTCTTTATTATAACTATGGAATGCCTAGAACAGCAAAATAACTCGAGAGTTTTGCAGCCTAGTCGTTATCAATCGATATCGATCGATATTTTATCATTTTTGCAAAGTTGAGCTACGGGGCTAAGAGTTGACACAAGGAATAAGTGAGCATTACGAATATACAGGGTGTCCCAAAAGTAAGTACATACTTCATGATCGTTAATAACTCTCTTCACACCAAACCTTTTGATTAGCTTCAAGCATTCGGTATAGGCTTCAGCTTAGATTTGCCGTATGGACCGAATCACTCATTGCTCTTCATTACTGTATGATCACAGTAAGTCACAGTAAGAATTCTCAGCATACAGCGCCATCAAAAAATAGGCCGTTTCGATAAAAAGTTTTAAAAAATCCTGAAAACGGTGCCGAGGCATTTAAGACGTGCTGATTTCATTGAACTACTTTTTACAAGTTTTTAAGCGTTTTTTATGGCTTTATCACATTTTTGAAAAACACTGGAAAAACATTACTGCGGTTTACCCGGGATAACTTATGAAAAAGTTTTACGGTAAGTGCAAATTTCATATTCATAGTCAGCGACTCAGTTTAGCCTCATGTTAGAGTTTTAAGCTCTTTGAATGGCTCAAAAACCTCTTCAAAGTTCCTACTGTAATCCTACAGTAGTGAAGAGAGTTGAGTGAATCAGTCTATACTTTGGATCTATGTTGAAGCTTGCTCCAGTGAATGGTGCGTGAAGCTAAGCAAAAGACCTTGTGGGAAGAGAGTTATTAGCGATTGAAAAGTGTGTACCTACTTTTAGGACCCTTTTTATTGACGAGGCCGGACGAGTCGGATTTGCCAGCTAGTGAGTTATAAAAATGTGCAAGTGACTTGTTTATATCTGTAGAAAAATTGAAAAAAATTTTAATTCTAACCTTGCGAGATTTTTTCGGGGGCGTGCCTGCCGCCAATGAAGTCATAGGCGCGCAGAAAATTGGGGAAGCATTCAAAAAAAAAAAAATTGGAGTGTGTGGTTAACGACACGCATTTTCAAAAAAATATTCTCTCCTCCCCCCCCCCCCTCCCTGCTCCTGAGCACTAATCTAAGACTGCCACTGCAATATGGCCATGCTCCTAATTCTTGCTGTAACCGTCGAGGCTCTTATTGTTGGTCTTGACGTGATTTAAGCTTTATTCAAAGCACAATATTCATTCTCTTGTTATGAGCCTATAATTTATACAAAGACTTTCTATAAAGTCTTTTAGTTGCTACATAGTGCACCTTACACTTCTCAGACAAACAGGTTGAAATCAAAAGTTCCCGACTCCTCTGTTTCTTGGTCATAGTAGCAATAAATTGCTCTTGAATCCCAATCATTTGTCTATGAAAAACAATTTGCCCTAAATGTTGAACAAAGTGTTAGGTGTCAGGTAGACAGTGATGTCCTTAATTGTAAATATTGTCAGCGTGTGTAGATATAAAAGCTAAATGCTCAAACGGAACTGGACTTTCCTAAAAATGGTGCGTTTCGATGACAATTATGTGGGTATTTGAATGTTCAAGAGGTTAAGTTGCATCAATCGATTCCGTCTCCTTTCGCGAATGATTATGATTTTTTTGTACTTTAAAAAAATTTTCAGATTAGTTAGCCGAAAAACAAAACATGAAAAGCTTACAAAGAAACTGTGATATTCCAATCAACTGAAGAAACTATCTAGACCGTCCACATTGGAGCTTTTATTTGGGAACTGCACACTCTTTTTTTTTGTTTGATAGGCAATGAAAAATTGCGTTTAAAAACCTTGTTTTAGAACACTGCACGATATGTGGTCATATGAGGTCAACCTTGAACATTTGATTATCAATAGTGCCTGGGCTTAAATTTGTGCACGTGTCTTTTTTCTACTTATAAACAATTTCGACAATTTGGAAAAATTCATAAAATCTGGACTAGCTATGCAAATGGATTTTCAGGGGTTTTGTGCACATAAAGAGCTTACAAAGCATCCCAGATGTTTTTCCAGCGCATAGAGAGGATGTGGCTAACGCTGCCTTTTCGGACAAGTTTCTGCACCCCCACCCCCTCCCTGCCCGCAAAAATTCGTCGGACGCCATTCCCATTTAGTTAATTTCTTGGTTACCCACTTTATGATTCTCAACAAAGTTTCTGTACATCTACTAAATAATCTTACCGCTTCAGTTTATGGTTAAGATACCATGTTTTCTTTGTAAACTCATTCTTGTATATGATGCACACAAGGCAAGCCAAAACAAAGACAAAAAAGCGTAAAGTCATAGCGTATAGAACCTAATGCGACATAAATTAGAAAAAAATGCAGTCATCAAGTCAGCTCAGTCCTTTTCTCGCCCGGACAGCGTTTACGAAGAAGCGACCATGGATTGTTGAAAGAGAACGTTCTAAGCAAAGCTTGCAGTGAAGAACTTCAATGTTGTTAATTATTAAAAAAAGCAAAATCTTTATTTTCAGGGTTTGAAATTGATTGCTGGACAAACGTTTGCTGATCAAACCGTACAATGCCCGAACAGTGGCGCACAATGTTACAACATGTCGGCCAGCGCTGCAGGAGTTCTAGACGTCGTTAAAGCAGGCTGTTCATTATGGAGATGTATGGTGAGTTCGCTCATGTATTATTGGACTTTGAAATTAGCTCCAATGGCTTGAAAAAAAGTGCCCATTTGTTTCAGTTGGCAAGGGATAGGTGCATTTCCACAACGTTCCAAAACATCCCAATCAGCTTATGCTGCTGTTCCACACATAGATGTAACGTCGGGAACACAGCCATTGGCGGCTTTCAGTAGGTATTTGATATGTTGTGACTGCATGACATATTAAGTTGAAACTTCACTTTTCACTGTGATTCAGAAAACAGGCAGTGAGTGGCTGGAATGCGGCGCCAGATCGTGAGGTGAAGCAAATGACCCATGCGCAGGTGAGTCTTGATAACTGACACTTAGGCGCTTCAGAGTGTCCGTGCCAGCGCCGTGCTCGCGTCGCAGCGCGTGCAACATGCTGGCACGACGCTCAGTCGGCGCCGACGCGGCAAACTTTGAACACATATTTGTTAGAAAGAAAGTAAAAATGATTTTCCTTTCAGATGAGGAGCCAATTCGAGTCAGCCGACCTGGACGACGAGGTATTGAGCACCACGCGAGGAAACAGGCACTCTGCGCAAACCAGTCGTCTCAGTCCAGCAACCCCAGAATCTGATCATTCCACTTTTGTCGACATTCCTCCGTCAACACAACGAGAAGCAAGGCATTCTGTCCAGAGTAAAGTGAATGCTACAAGTAGACCGATCACTACCGCTCAAAATCTCACCAGAATCACACCTCGAGGGAACAACAGCTTGTCCCATCCAGCAGACGAAATTGAAATTTTGCTTGAATAAAAATTACATGAATATTCTGTTTCATCTAATACATATCAGTTTCAGTGATTCTGAGAAATGTGGGGAACTTCCCGAAAAATTTTATGAAGAGGCTAATGCCACGCCCATCTGTTTGACAGTGTGTTGACGACTAGCGAGAAAAGAAACAGCTGATTTCAAAGCAACTGCTGTCCGACCAGATGAAAATGCAAAAATAGAAGCGAGTAGGAGAAGAAATAGATGATTTATGTAATTGAATATGCAACTAACAATACTGTAACTTCAACAACATATTAACAATAACAAGCGCACGCAATGTCACTGCGGGGTCAACTCAACCGCTAGAAACAAAGTGAAAAACAACATGGATATAACAATCTAACAATTTCTTCTACTCTTCTTCTCCCTCTCCTTCTTCTTTAATCTTCTTTTCCTTCTTCTTCTTTTTCTTCTTCTCAGACTTCGGAACTTCTGGGGTTTCTTGGGTCTCCTCCACTTCTACCTAAAGTGATTTGGGATTATCAAGTTAAAAGAAAGAAGAAGGCTTGATAATTCGATTTACTTTTGTCCTCTTAGTTGCGGGCTCTTCTTCATCATCATTGAACTTTCGCTTCTGAGGCTTTTTCGGAACATCAGCAGCCTCGTTATACTCGAAAGTTTCACTAAAATTTATTTCAGCAACGCAACTCATGTTGGCAAGAGTCTGATGTGCTTCATCTGCTCACCTCTTAAAGTGGTATTTTTCATGTTTGTGAGATCCACCACTGATTGTCTTTGGCCCTCGTTCTTGTTCCGAACGTAGGACTGCCTCCAAGCCAGCTCTGCACTCCATTCCGACTTCTGCGCCTCTAGAATCCTCAGCCAGAGCGTCTATACGTGTTGCCAAGGCACATTTAGCTGCGAGTTTACGCGCCATCTACAATGATGACGAGCTGGTAATAAGAAAGCAAAAGCAAGGATAGAAAAGGGAATAGATGTACCTTTCCCTTGAGTTTTGCAGGAGCCTGAGTAATAAGTTGTGCGTGATAGATAAGTCCATACTTAGGTGTATCTTTCTTGGTCTTCAAAGCACGAAACAATGCCTAGATCGGAAACGTTTATGAGAAAAAACTTTATGAATCAAGTATTCATACCTTCTCGGCTCCAAGAATCTGTACTGTAGAAGCAGGTGCCTTAGCCAATGAAACGAGAGATCCAGCATGTGAGATCAGTCGAGCACCGACAAGCTCACCAAGTAAGCAAGTTAAATTAGGGGCTAGGGCGGTCATTCTATTCTTCAAATAATCGAACAATTGCGACCTGAAGAAAAAGACCTGAATGGAAAAAAGAAAAAAGTATTTTGTGAAACCCAACTCAGACACTTCAAAAGTAATCTATGTACGAAAGATACGATAAGATTGTCGATATGACTACAACTTTACAGAAATTCGAAACCATAAGAAAAAAGGCAAGAACTTACAAAAGTCATCTTTCCAACTATTGAAGTGCAAAAGTATAGCTCACCTGTACTGCGTCAGCTCAATTATTTGGTCGCATAGACCACTAATATGGATGAGATCCAAGTCAGAAATATCAGTTCCCATGGAGATTTCTGCTTCTTCCTTTACTTTTGCTTCGAGTTCCTCCGGTAAAATTTCGGAAAGATCTACATTGGCTGCATTTTGCTTCATGCCAATAGCTTTGACAACCTAGAAATCCAATGATGAACGATGAAAAACGAAGCAAGGAGAAGAGGTACCTTTGCAAAGGCTTGATGATCTTGGATAAGTTTGCCAAGTTCCGGAAAATGCCAACCATACCACTCACGACATCTCATTACATAGTTATTGAGCTCTTTATCTAAGTCATCCAAGAGGGAAACAGCCTGGAACGGAAAGACATTTGTAGGTAGTGAAGCGTAACACCTGACAGCAAACAAACCTGCACAATCATTGTATCAATTTTTTCCGGGTTGAATTTTACTTTGTAACGACCAAGCGAGTGTGCCACGGCTAGATTCATAGCACTTAATTCAGCTTTGTGCTCGCCTAGCAATGAATCGATGTGCGCACGAATGCTTCGCATAAGCTCTGCAATAGCTGGCGAGTAGACGCATGGAACCTCCAATTTCTCCTAAAAAGAAGCGGAAGTTCAGACAATATCCTTCACAAGCTGAGAAATAAGTTTAGGAGACTAGTTCATCGATCTAGCCAAAATGAGAGACATGTTTTTGTTTTGGCTCCAGGATCAAAAAAGAAGCTTTCTTCACATGTAAATATTTAGATTCAAATTCATAAACTGAGGAAGATCAATCTGCGGGCCAAAACCTGGGATAAGAATCATTTTTGAGCAGATTTAGAAAAACCGAAGTTGGAAACTTGTAGATATAACCCCTATACTAGCGCAAAACAAAGGCAGATCCTATTGACCACTTTTAAGAATGGTATTATTAAACTGGTGTTATATTAAATAGAATTCGAGAAGATTACGTGCCTTGATGAGATTCCCTAGTTTTGAATCGCCAACGGCCAACTGCTCATTTTCTTCGACTTTCCCTTTTAACAGCTTCTTCAACGTTTTATTCATTTTTCCTTCATGAAGCGAACTTGTGCATTCAACAGCATCTGCTGTGCTCTTGAACTTCTTGAATGCAATCAACTGCAGACTGAAACAAAGACATAAAGCGGGGTTCTAGGACAGATAATGGAGAACAATAAACTCACTTTTCTTGTGCTTTCTCCGGTGTGTCAAACTCATCATATATATTATCTACATGCTTGAGCTTTTTCTCATTTTGCAACTTAAACATAGCATATCCAGCAGCTGTTTCAAATAATACTAGCATTTTGACTCTAGAAAACAAGCAACTACTTCTGCACTTCTAAATGATAATAAGGCAACCAAATATGACCGTATAAATGTTTAAACAAAGTGAACTTTGATTTATATGCAAAATAAAAGTGCCAAAAGCACGCGCGCACTACGTGGATCCCCGCATTTCTCGATCATACGCGATGGAGCGTGCTTTAGCGCTAGGGCACATCGGCAGGCAGGTGGAGAGATGAGCCGGTTCTCCGCCAGATTTTTTTTAACTCATGCGGAATTGCAATTCTCTCTGTAATTAGCAGTTGTCTCCTGCATCAAATAATCAGTAGGTTCTTACTGAGCACTACGTGGATCGTGGATTCTTACTGATTTTCTGACCTCCTCCAGACTTCAAGAGCGGCTGAGTTGTTACAGGGGTATAAGTGACCATAATAATTGCAAAATACCTTTTTAAGATACTCAACTGTTGTAATCGATCTTTCCCTAAAAAGGGAATCAGAGTTGCAGAAAAGAACGTAATTTCGAATAATATTTTTAATTGCCAATATTAGGTTGGCTAATAGGTAATTTCGGTCGGTTTTCGGCTCCTACAGAGCAGACAATTTTTTGTCCATTATTCCGCCGGAAAGAGCATCTTAATGAGTGAGAATTGGGACACAGATTTTGAATAATTTATTTGCAACGAAAGAAATCCGCAAAGAAGTAGGAAACCCCAATATTCTCATTGTGCGCAAATATGAGAAAATTTGGCTTTTTCGGCCAAAGATTTTTGAAATGGCAGATCACAATTTTTATTGATAGTCGCTAAGTAGGAAAAACATGTCTGTATCCCACTACCAAATTGCTTTTCAATAAATCCATTAGAGCATGAAAACGAAGCTTCGAAAGTCGTGGAAATGAGCTTTTGGAATTTTGGACATGTTGGGCACAACTGTCCCTTACTAATTACTCAGACGATAACTCGGACGAGCGGTGGGCCTTTACCTGGCGGGCGATCATGCCTCCCGCCGCTCGTCCTCTAAAGGCACGCCTGCTAGAGATAAAAAGCGGGCGGGCGGGGTACCTTTAGCGGGTGACCATCATACTTCCCTCCACTCTCCCGCTAATAGTATTCCGCTCGTCCGCTCGTACATCAAACCGGACGAGCGGAGTGTCCTTAGCGGGCTACTAATCATGCTTCTCGCCTCCGGCCCTCTCTTTACAGCTCTACAAGGGTCCGACAGCCTGCTGCCTACCGCTTATAGTCTGCAACCAAGGCTACAGATACACAATCTGATTCCTACAACGCATTTTGAAACATCGTGATACACTTGCTTTCCACACGAGCAAACGTAAACCTACTTCTAACTTCGTCCACCTCATACTTATCTTCACTTTTGGTTATCTTTACAGCTTTGCAGAAGAACCAAACCACTTGTTATCGAAAATTCTCCTAAGAAGTCGGAAGTTGCAGTTAAGTTAAGTTGCATATGCCAGGAATTAGTCGCTGTCGTAGTCAAAACTCACCTCTTTTTATCCGCTTCTTTCCCCATATTCCATTTCTGGGGTGTAATGAAGTTAGTTTCTGTGGAGAGAAGTTCATATGGTTCATCGGCAACGGTTAACCTCAAATCGGGATGGGCCGCCGCTGGTCAAATCAAGGTTCGCCGCTCGCAAGCTCGGTAGCGAGGGGCCGCTCGTCCGCAAGAAAACCACGCCCGCAAATCAAAGCTCGCTGCTCGCCCGCAAAGCCATTAAGATCCGCCGCTCGTCCGAGTTATTGTGTCAGTATTTACAGTTCTGCGTAGTTGATTTTTGATAGAAGAATCTTTAAACTACTCAATTATCCACAAATTATCATGAATAAAGAACAATTAAGAACGTTTTTATAAATTAATTTTAGCCAACCTAATATTTTACTTGATACATCCCAAAAATTCAGAATCACGGATTTTGCCAAAGTCCGCTCATGGAGTTGATCGACCTGTAATATCATTTATCGAATATCATTTCGATGCTTTAGGAGAGCGTTTTGGTGGTTCTCATACTAACAATAAGATAAGTTCATCAACGAAATGCAGAGTAACTTTGCATTACGAAACTGATGTTAAAGGTAGGGTCCGGGCAAGATTTCGGATGGAATTTTTTTGCTTACCTGGGCTTTTCCCGCTGATTCCGAAAATGTAGCGCGGAGAGCACGAAAACGTCGAAAACGGCCTTTTCCAGAAGCTCTTAATTTGAATTTTGTCGTCTGCCGCCAAGGTTAAGACGCAGAGTCTTTGCGAGACCCTACGTCTTGACTGTGTGCGGTATGCACACTCTGGTTTATCGAACTAACTCGTCCCCGGTCCTCGGGGAGTTCTATCAACACTTCTTAAGCGGTTTTCTCCTTCAGAAGCAAATTGGTGCATTGCCAGTTGGGCATGAGCCTTACTAGGATGGGCGCCCCTGTACCCTACATTTTCGTTTTTGCCCGGATGCTGCCTTTAATTTCGCAAGGTAGGATTTCCTGCAGAACCGCCTTGTCATGAAGCTTGGTAGATTGCAGTTATAAATAAGCAACTTCTGCTTTTCACATCAATTTAGATCCCAAAAATCCAAAATCTAGGACTTAATATGCCAAAATAACGCGGTAGTCGTGACCAGCACGTCAGATAAACCCTTCAGTCTAGAGTTACAGGCAGACCTTCAACTTTGATCCTCTTAACGAATGCCTACTGTAACCTCGCAAAAGGTGCCAGAGCTAGAAAAGAGCAAAGTAATCGTATTGATTCCAAATGATTCCCCAAAGAGCAAAGTTATAGCAAATTCGGGTTTGGCCGCATACCATAAACCTACCGTAACCCCACCCCACTGTGAGATGCTTCGTAAAGAATGGATATGATATCTGCGATCAGCAGCTCAGTAACCCCCATGGACTAACTCTGGTAAAATGCGTGACTTTGAATTTTTGGGTTGGGCTTGGTGGAATGATACCTATTTTTTCAAAGCCTTTTTGTCCGGCACAGGACAAAAAGTGAGAGTGAGTCCAATCTTGGCCAGCAGGAGGCTGGCCCTAATGGACACAAAATTTGCCACAAGAAGTTCGCCATATGGCGGACTCTTTGTGGCAATTTTACAATGTAAACATAAGGATCACAAAGAGTTGAAATAAAGAGTTAAAATTTGGGCATGGGTCGTGTTTTTATCACGACACTCCCCCCCCCCCCCCCCCAGACGAAAATTGACGTCACGAGTCAGGAATACATGGGAATGAGATTCTCTTCCGACATAAGAAAAAAAGGGGAGAAGAAAAAAAGGAATATTTTGCAGTGGGCATGAGATCAGCAAAAAACAAAGAAAATGATATGGGAACAACAAATTAATAACAAAATGTTATATGGAGTTACAAAAACATATAATAGAGGGGGAAAGGAAGAGCGGCCAAAGACTGGATGCGTGTTGAGACGATGGAGAAATGGAGAGTAGTAGTTGTGCGTTGATGGAATTGGGCTTGACGTTTGAATTGAAGGCTTGACGAACCGGAGAGATCTAGATTGAATAATTTACTATCTTAACAACAGATTACCCCCCCCCCCCCCTCCCCAGTTGGGGCATGTGGGAATGGTGATACTTGATACCATTCTCGAGCTGATGCGCGAGAGCAGACGCTTATCGTCTATCAGGAATTTGGTTGACTGATATTATTTTTGTAATGATATGCTTGATGCGCGTCTGTTTTTGCGCAAGAAGATGTCACCCTGGCTGTATAAAAGGGTGATTGAGCTGCTTGTTTAAGCCGTTTTTTTTCTTCAACTTTTTGAGATTTTGCCTTTCGTTTGGTTTCTGTTATTGTTGTTATTTGAGATTTGACAAAAGATGCCCGTCAACGCAGTGGAGTTCACCAGAAGCAACCAAGCGAGCATTACAAATATGTTCATCGATTTTTTTATCTTGAGGGTTTTTGTGGCTGTTTTGTAAATTGATTCTTAGTTTTCATAACCACAGGACTTTATCGATATGGAGAGGGACATCGTTTCTCTCCAAAGGCAAGTGGATGAGGCCAAAAGGGAAGCTAGTCAGGCCAGAAAGGGAGAGAATGAGGTCAGAAAGGCAAGAATTTTTGTTCCATATTGTTTTGGACAATTTGAAAGGTTTATTCTAGATGATCGAGGATTTAAAAACGAAGTTGGCCAACGAGACAAGGGCAGCGAACACCTACTGGTCCTGTCTGAAAAGGTTGCGGCGGGACATGGACTTGATAACGGATCGTGTCCAAAAAAACAACTGACATCGATGACGGCATTAAATCAGATCTTTTCTCTTTTTTTGTTTGTAATTTGTTGTTAAGTTGTAATAAACATTTGATGAACCAAATCTATATGATCTGTGAAAATGCTCACCGGAGTTTCGAGTGGCGAGCGAGGTCGAGGTTGGGGGGTTGGATTAGCTCTACAACCACACAATTTGAAATTGGTGATAGCCGTTAATTAGGTTGTGAAGTGTGAACTCACTTCCGACGTTTATATGGACCGTTTTGTCCTCTGCTGGGGCACAACAGAACATTGTGTAGTCTTTCATAAATTGGGCATGTCACGCCACAGTCTTCGTGGTGCCGCGGTTGAAGGCACCACATTTCGATATGACCGCCGAGGCCAGACATTACACATGTTTCTGTCTTCAGTTTAGGTAAGCTTAATTCCTGTGCCAGTTCCTCACAAATTACCGTTTTTTTGCGCCCCGGTGTCGAAAAAGAAGAGCACTTGCTCGAAGTCTTCTTTGCTATGATTCCAAATCATTCCTTCGGCAGTCACGAGAACGATTTCTTCCTTTTTTTGGGCGTCAACACCTGCTTTTCTATGCCGAAATTTGTTTGATTGGCTAGATTGGTTCGCGAAGTAGTTTTGTTCCTTGGACGTAGATTATACGGGAAGTTATTCTTCCAGTTCACCTGTGGGCGCTTATCTGTCTTCTTGAAAGAAGCAGAATTCTGTTTTCGAGCAGGTGGCTGTGAGATTCCATTTCAGCTCTGTTGTCTGCTTGCAAAGCATAAATCAATGTGATGTTGTGTGCCGCAAGAGGCACAGTTC